TGTTGATTGAGTCTTAATTTTTGCTTGTCTTTCCCTGCATTTCGTACGATTATTTAAACTCTCATGTTTCAAACCCTCCTCACACTATACTTTCCCCCCTCAAGAAATCGTGAGTTTTTCTTTCTTAGTTCTAATCAACTCCTCTATCCCACTATTAACTTGCATTCCATTTATGCATTGGCTTGCTTCTCTGCTACTCAAACATGTGTGGTTCTTTCTTCAGCTTTTGCAGGTTACTTGGAAGTAGACTGAGAGCATTTCAGGATGGGGGTTGCATTAAAAAGTACCAACAAATTTCTAAGCTTTAGCATGGTCTCGGTTGCCTCTCTTGTGGCCATTGTCCTAACTGTGCTCCTAGGTAAGACTTTGACCTTAGTGATACATATTATTACATGGTCTTTGTACCATTGTGACTGTTTGCAATGCAGTGCATGATGTACTAATTCACAAGGAAAGTGAAAGAGACAGTGACATAGAAGGAAACAGAAGGGCGATCACCTCTCGGAAGCTGCTGCAATCTGCTGGTATGAATGAGAATTGAGAATCCTTGACATATTGTAATGAAATTCAGTTCAAAAAATTGCAGTCCTAACTCCTAACATAACACAACTAATTATGTTGCATTGCAGTTGCAGATAGGGACACAAACCGTATAGGCAAGGGTTGCTCAAAAGATGACATAGTGATATATCAAGGGCAAGTGGGTCCTCTACCAAGTGGGATTCCTGGGTACAGAGTTGAAATCACGAACATGTGTGGCAGTGATTGCAATATATCGAAAATACGGCTTCATTGTGGATGGTTCAGCTCAGCACGTTTGATAAACCCTAAAGTGTTTCGTAGAGTTAGATACAATGATTGCCTTGTGAATGATGGGGAGGCCCTTGGCCCAGGAAAAACCATCTCCTTTGAATATGCAAACACTTTCAGCTACCCTCTCTCCGTTTCATCTGTTGTTTGCTCCAAAAGAGTAATGAGCTAACACTTACTTGCCTTACAAGGGGAACCTCACCCTCTGCTTTAGTTTTTTGTAAAAATTAAACCCCTCTTTTGTAAATATAAACAATGAAAAATGATTTAAATTGACTTAATTAATTCTTTACGTACTTTCAATTAGAATTTATATAATAATAATAATAAATAAAAAAAAAGAGAGAGTTAGTAATCTTGTGAAATACAAATAGCTAAAAGTTGCTGTTTTACATTACAGGGTAGGGTGCTGTAATAATAATATGACATAAAGGGGTTTATTGGAGGTAGTCTAGTCTAGTCTAGTATCCATAATCGTAAGAAAATTCAGAAACACCAACCATGGCAGAGAGGACTTGAGAAACAAGGTAAATGGAAGCTCCGAAAATGGCAAGTATGAAAATAGCAGAAATGGGATTCTTGAGGAGTTCCCCAATGGGGCGAAATATGGTGTAAAGCGCACCTGTGCTTACGGTGAGAGCGTAGAGTCCGTATCTGCGGACGTTGTCCCAAAACTCCTCCACAAGTGGGCCTTGTGGGCCCAAAGCCCAGGCCTTGTCTTCACTGAGAACCACCGCCAGTATCCCCACACCCACACACAGCGCTCCCATTATGACACTCCGCGAATGCCCAATTTCAAGTCTGAGTAGTGGCAGCCTCCGTCTAAGAGGGATTGCGATTTTGGCATTCGAAGAGAGTTGCACTAATTTCTTGGGTTTCAGACATAATGATGGAATGCCAACCTCTGCTCTCAGGCTCACACTTCTCATCTTCTCTCACACTTTGCTATGCCATGCAATCCAACTTATCTTTTTTCTCACCTTATCTTCCATATGTGGTGTCTCTCTCTCTTATCTGCAACCATTCCACTTTCGCTTTTTTATTTTACATGCTATATATTTATTAATCCATCAAGAAGCGAGTCTATAAAATAAAAATTATTTTTATTTTTATTTTATATAAAAAAATACATTAAAAAATTATTTATATTTTTTTTAATTGATTTGACTTACTAATTTATTAATAAAATAAAAAATTAACTAATTCACTTCAATTTAAAATAGGTAGATTACCGATCAAAATCAAGATTCAGAATCTTCTACCATGGGTCACAGGTTTACGACATTGATTGATAAATTGTCACAACATAAGAAAAGAGGGGTTGTACGAATCGATTCCTTGCACAATGTACTTTAAGTTTTATAATGATTACTTTAGTTTATTTAATACATGCATAATTATTTATAAATATCACATTAAATCAATTATTAATATATAACTACCTTGTCATTAGCGATTATGAAATAAATGGTTATGAGAGACTAAAAGAGCAATTTTTTCAAAACTACAAAGATTAATAAAACAATTTTTTTTTTCAAATTTAGAGGATTAAAAGAATAATTAAATCTATTAAATACTATATTAATAAAATAGTATTTATTTTAGCTATTTTTTGTGTCATATTTTAAATAATATAAAGATAATAAATTTTAAGGTGAAATAATTATACTATTTATTAAATTAAAAAAACTATGACATCATTTATCTTGCATATACAAATAATTCAAAACCTTATAATATAAACATAAAAAAATTTATATTCATGCATAAATAGTTAGGTGAAACCTCTATCATAAGATAAAGAGTCTCATATAACTAATTTTAAAACAAACTTCATATTAACGCAAAAATATGAAACTGAACATGATCTTGTCTTAAAAATTAATAAAAAAATATATGCTTAATCTAAGTCTCTATATAACCACCCTCAAGGCAAGAATTAAGTTTTACCATTAACATTATCAAGATCACAATAAATATTACCTACAACGATATACATATAACTAAGACATGAAAATAAAAGAAGAGAAAATTTCTCACTCTAATAATTCTTGTAAGATAAAAGTTCGTATTTACTATATAGATATTGATATATTATATTATATTATTATTATTATTATTATTATTATTATTATTATTATTATTATTATTATTATTATTATTATTATTATTATTATTATTATTATTATTATTATTATTATTATTATTATTATTATTATTATTATTATTATTATTATTATTATTATTATTATTATTATTATTATTATTATTATTATTATTATTATTATTATTATTATTATTATTATTATTATTATTATTATTATTATTATTATTATTATTATTATTATTATTATTATTACCATCATCATCATCATTATCATCATTGAAAAGTTCTAAGAAACAAGAGAATTGTGCTTCTAAAATCTCAAAATTAAAAAGTTATTAAATAAATCTTATGAATAGTTAATTTTTGAGAAAAAAATTAAAAAATCATTCAAACTTTACATTTTAGTAATCTCCTAATTTTGAAAAATATTTAATTAAAGCCATAAAAAGTTTATGAGAAACACATATTTTACTCTTACTATTGTTAGTCTCTCTATATATATTTATATCCCAACTTGATAATAGGTAACCGGACTTGTGCATTTTTTTTTAATGCATATAGATATGTGCAGCAAGGATAGAATAGAAACATAAGTTTCAAGTTCCCAACAGTTTCATCCATGCCATGGAATTCCACTCTTCCTTCCTCGTTATTACCACAATCTTCTTGTTCCTGCTTTGGCTTGCAAAGACTTACAAGCAAGCAAAAAGTGTGGTTCATAAGCATAAGCATAAGCTACCCCCAGGTCCATGGAAGCTTCCTCTAATAGGGAACCTTCATCAAGTAGCAGGTGCAGGCACACTTCCACACCACACCCTTCAAAATCTGGCCTTAAAATATGGACCTCTAATGCACCTTCAACTGGGTGAAATTTCTGCAGTGGTTGTGTCATCCCCTGACATGGCCAAAGAGATTATGAAGACACATGATCTTAATTTTGTGCAGAGGCCACAACTCCTTTGTCCCCAAATCCTAGCCTATGAATCAACAGATATTGCCTTTTCTCCATACGGTGATTACTGGAGACAGATGAGGAAAATATGCACACTAGAACTTTTCAGTGCCAAAAGGGTTCAATCATTTTCCTTCATTCGGGAAGATGAGGTGGCTAAGCTCATAAAATCCATTCAAGTATGTGCATCTGAAGCTTCACAAGTCAACGTTTCCAAAAGCGTTTTCTCTTTGGTAAGTAGTATTGTTTCAAGGGCAGCTTTGGGTAAAAAATGTGAGCATCAAGATCAACTTTTGGGTTTGCTCAAGAAAGGAGTGGAACTCTCGGGAGGGTTTGATCTCGCTGATTTGTTCCCTTCGGTGAAGCCTATTCATCTCATAACTGGGATAAAAGCTAAGTTGGAGGACATGCACAAAGAGCTTGACAACATTTTACAAAACATTATCAGCGACCATCAAACAAACTCAAACCATGGAAAGCCTGAAGCAGAAGAAGATCTCGTTGATGTTCTCTTACGCGTGCAACAAAGTGCCAACCTTCAAATCCCACTCACAATCAACAACATCAAAGCCATCATATGGGCGGTCAGTAACTCTTATCAATTTTTACTTAATCGCAATTCAACACTTGACAATTTTTCTCACCTCATAATTTAAATAATTAAAGAGTATATTTAATTTTATCATTTATAATTGTTTTGTTAATACATAAGATTATACAATCATTTCAAAAAATTGTGTCTATACATAAATATAAAATTATTCGTTTGAAAAATTTTATTATAACAAAAAGTTTATATATTATATTTGTTTGAATTCAATAAAAATGGTACTTCAGAATGAATATAAAGATTAAATTTTACACAAATATTATGATTTATATATAAAAATAATAAATATAATAATGAATATAACGACATAACAACATTTGATTAAAGATTAATTCTTTTAATTTTTTTAAAAAATAATTCAATAAATGACTTGTTAGCAGTTATTATAGCATATATACATGTGCAGGACGTATTTGGGGCTGGGAGTGATACCTCAGCAACAGTACTAGAGTGGGTTATGTCAGAGCTGATGAGAAACCCAAGAGTGATGAAAAAGTTACAGGCTGAAATAAGAGAAGCTTTGGGGGGAAAGAAAACAATTGGCGAGAGTGATATACATGAATTTGGGTACATGAAGTCAGTGATAAAAGAAATCATGAGGTTATATCCACCTGCGCCTCTGTTGCTGCCAAGAGAATGCAGGGAAGCCTGTAAGATAGGTGGATATGAAATACCTGTAAAGACTAAAGTGATAGTAAATGCATGGGCACTTGGGAGAGACCCAAAGTATTGGAATGATGCAGACAAGTTTGTACCTGAGAGGTTTCATGGCACAAATTATGATTTTAAAGGGAGTAATTTTGAGTACATCCCTTTTGGGGCAGGGAGGAGAATGTGTCCTGGTTATTTACTTGGCTTGGCTAATATTGAGCTTCCTTTAGCTGCATTGCTCTATCACTTTGACTGGGAACTTCCCAATGGAATCAAACCAGAGGACTTGGATATGACTCAAACCTTTGGAGCTACTGTGGGAAGGAAAAACAACCTATATTTGCTACCCATTCCTTATCATGCCATTTCCAATTCACCCTCTTAGTTATTTCTCTTTATTTCCCTCTACTCACTTTCTCTAATTAATAACTCATAAAGTACAAACCAGAACTTGTTTACAAGTGTACTGTTTCTGAACTTTATATTTATATAAAGCGACCCCAACTTTGATCAATATTTTTAGGAGTAAATTTTGAATGCAACTTCCACCCCAACTTATGAGTCATGCATTATTTAAGCATAAACTAAGAACAAAATTTGAAATTGAAGAGAATCAATTTAATTTTACTATGAAGATCTACAGTATAAATTAATATTTTTTTTAAATAATGAGACTAATAATGTAAAGGTTTCCAAACAGAAAGAGACTTTAATCTACGATATATAAACACATATGATCGAGTATCAAGCAGTGTTAGAGAAGACTTTAATTTTTCTTGATCAAATCATTGCTAGTTTAATTTATCCTTATGATTATTTATTATCCTTCACGTACACAGTCTTAAAATTTGAAAATTAATTTAAAGCATTCGTGTAACTCGTGGTCATTAAGAAATTCATTATTATAGGTGGTTGGCGACAATGGTGAGTTTCGAATTCGTCTAACCAACCAACAATATTTAATTTGTATGCAATAACTCAGGAATCTTGAGTTGAAAATTCGATGTACGCAGCTTACGGTCAGAAGATTTTTTTATTTTGCTTTTTTAATAGACATCTACACTAATGAAACGTAATTTCGGTTACCGTTACCAAATATTATTTTAACATGTTAGCAATTGATTCCAGATGTACTAAATCGATCATTATCTTAAGAAAAATCTTATGACCACTACTAAATTAAGAGTTTGAGACAGAGAAGCTTACTAGCATTTTTTATATTTGTTTAGAGAGTCAGAAGATTTTTGTTAAGATAATGGGAACTGGAAGTTTATAGAGTAAATAGAAGACAAAAGGTAATAGATATGATACCTACTAATGAGAAAATATGAGAGAGAAAAAATTGTGATTTTCTAGAGCGATCAGGAATTTTAGAAAAATTGTATTTGATAAAAATTGAGTTTTTTTTTTTTTTTTGAAGAACAAACAGATAAGAATAGAATTTTTGGATAAAATGAGTAATATAACAGAGAGTATGAATTATATATTTTAAGAGTTAATTACCTATATATTAATGTAAAAAAATTTTAAACTGATAAATATCTTTTAATTATACTGTATTATTATAAACAGATTCACATTTAACTTATATTTTAAAGTCAAAGGTCCAAAATCTTTTTGTCGGCCGGCGAGGATCTTGTACCATGGGCCACAGGCTTGAGAAATAGCGAGTTGTGACAACATAAGAAAAGAGTGGTAAAGCATGTTACTAGGTACATGAATTTGTCTTATTAGGTAAGTCCCTCCTTGTATGAATCGATTCCTTGCACAAGGTACCCCGAAGAAATGGTTGTGTGAAGCATCAAGACTTTTTTTGCAGTAGTAATTCAGGTAGACGATGTAACGAACATGGGCCGGTTTTATATAATTTTCTAAAGAAATAAACCTCATATGAAGTTACATATATAAATAAATTCAACGTCCAACCCAAACAATTAGATCTGTCCTTCACAGTTGACACCATGGAAGTCCAGTCTTCCTTGGCACTCATCACCTTCTTCCTCTCACTCATAGTGCTTTGGCTTGCAAAAAACTACAAGCAAAAGGGTCTCCATAAACTACCACCAGGACCATGGAAGCTACCTATCATAGGGAACATGCATCAGCTAGCAGCAGCAAGTTCACTTCCTCATCGTGCTCTCAGTGAACTAGCTCTAAAATATGGACCCTTGATGCACCTACAACTAGGTGAGATTTCTGCAGTGATTGTATCATCCCCCAACATGGCCATGGAAATATTGAAAACGCATGATCTTGCTTTTGCTCAGAGGCCAAAATTTCTATCTTCTGATATTATGGCCTATGGATCAGCAGACATTGCTTTTGCTCCATATGGTGATTACTGGAGACAAATGAGGAAAATATGCATGTTGGAGCTTCTAAGTGCAAAGAAGGTTCAGTCCTTCTCCCAAAATAGAGAAGAAGAGGTAAATAAACTCGTAGAAACAATTCACTCATCTGCGGGTGCACCAATCGACCTCACCAGCATGATTAACTTTTTCATTAGTAACTTTGTTTCTAGAGCAGTGTTTGGTAACCTAACTGAAGATCGTGAAGAATTTTTGTTGCTTGTAAAGAAAGCAATAGAAGTGGCAGATGGCTTTGATCTTGCGGATATGTTTCCTTCCTTCAAGCCTATACATCTCATAACGGGGTTGAAAGCAAAATTGGATGAGATGCATGAGAAGATTGACAAGATCTTAGACAAGATCATAAAGGAGAATCAAGAAAAGCGTACTAGAGCAAAAGAAGGCACGGGAGATGAAAAGAACGAAAATCTCGTTGAGGTTCTTTTACGAGTCCAACAGAGTAGCAATCTTGATACCCCAATTACAACCAACAATATCAAAGCTGTGATTTGGGTTAGTATCTCTGCCATAACATTCATTTAATTTTAATTCTGTTTGAGTATCACCCACATATATTATTCGGACAAGTATGTTGATAATTCAATGTCATATTTTTTGTGCTTGTTATCAATTCAAACATAGAGGAGGGGCAATAAGCTTAGGCTCTAACATACATACTCCTCTTATTAGTTTAGATTCACTGAAAAATACTGAATCAAAATATAATACTACTAAATATAAAGTATGAGACAAAAATAAATTTGAATAAACAGTGTGTCAAGAGTCTGTATCTAACATTTCTAACTAAATTTTGTGAATTATAATAAATTTTGGCCATTTAAAGGAAATTGTTGAAAAGAATATGTTAAAGAATGGTTTTTGAGATTTGTCTTGAAATATATGGGAAAGTAAAATAAACATTAAGCAATAAGCAGGACATATTTGCTGCTGGAACGGATACTTCAGGAAAAGTAATAGAGTGGGCAATGTCAGAAATGATGAGAAACCCAAGAGTGAGAGAGAAGGCACAAGCTGAGATTAGAGAGAAGTTGAGAGGAAAGGAAAGAATCGATGAGAGGAACCTGGGAGAGCTTAGGTACCTAAAGGCAGTAATAAGAGAAAGCATGAGATTGCACCCTCCTCTTCCTTTGTTGCTTCCAAGAGAATGCATGGAAGCATGCAAGATAAATGGATATGATTTTCCAAGGAAGACTAAAGTGATAGTGAATGTATGGGCAATTGGAAGAGATGTTGAGCACTGGCATGATGCAGAGAGGTTTATCCCAGAAAGGTTTTATGGGACATGTGTTGATTTCAAAGGAACAGACTTCGAGTACATTCCTTTTGGGGCAGGAAGGAGAATGTGTCCGGGCATTTCATTTGGCATAGCCAGCGTTGAGTTGGCTCTAGCCAACTTACTCTATCACTTCAACTGGCAACTCCCTCAAGGAATCAAACCACACCAGTTTGACATGGATGAAGGATTTGGAGCTGTCGTTGGAAGGAAAAACAACCTTCGATTCATTCCTATTCCTTATAATCCTTCAATTCATCACCATAATGCCAAATGACCCACACCATCATTTCATCTTTTTCTTCCTCAAATTACTCTACAATAAATTAGAGTTAATAAAACTATCATAAATTGTTACTTTTGTTGCCGTTTGAAATCTCTACAACTTTCAAATAGACAAGTCTGTATATAAATGCATTCAAATAAACATGCGTGTGGAGTAGGCAAACACCAAAATAAACATGCACTAAATTATTCAAAATATAACAATGAATGCTCTTCAAATTGCGTTAAAAATTAGTAGAAATAAAAAAAAGTTATTACTTCATCAATATATTCATTCATTTTATTTTGATACTTTTTGTTTTGTTTATCAATTATAAATAAAGCTTTTTTAATGCTGAAAATTGTCAAAAAACAAAATTTCATAATAAGAATACATGATAAGTTTCTTGCAAATAACTTTAATTATTTACATTAAAAAAGACATTACTAGTCTTTAGTATCATGACTAATTATGAATGAATTTGATTTTTGAAGTGTGGTCGAATTCAACTTTCTTTAAACGGCTACTGCAAGTGTTTTTTTTTTTTTTTTTTTCCTTTTCTTCTTTTAACTTCAATTTACATTTACATTTTGTATAAGTAAAAGTCATTATGAAATTGTTTTTTTTATCCTCCTATTATCAACAAAAAACGTTTTTTATACTAAAGTCTCACAACTTTCTTTCATTTATACATATAGAAAATGTTAATCCATATGCTGACTAGATAGCTAAAAACGACTCACCAGGAGAAGAATTTGTGTTTTAAAGTTCTTGTCCCCATAACTTAGTTCGTTATGCTTAGTAGATATTACGCATGTTCTTTTATTAAGTATTAATCTTGTTTATTTTTCTCATTGATTAAAAAAAAAAAAAAGTCACCGTGTATTTTTGCTTTTTGGTTAATTTTAAATATATCTATTTTAAAAATATGTTTTATTTACTCGTAATATTCAAGACCCTTCGTAAAAATTAAGTTAGCTTCTTTACTGGATACATGAAAATTAAAATTAAAATTTATTGTCTTAATTATTTACTAATACTAGTTGAGATTATTTCAATTAGAAAAATTATTTTGAAATACACCTTTTTCACCCTTATTTATAAATGTATGAGAGGTATGAGATTTATGATTATTAAGCATTTTCTTCTGAACCTCGCTTTAATTTTGAATTGGATTTAATGGTGGGCTTGTGTTAAAATTACTTAAGCCATCGAATGCTTGATTAACGATTAAGTATGAGTTAGATTTTTTGTTTATGAAGATATTATATTTTAAAATTGACAATTAAAGATCGTGAATTAACATTTGGAATGAAAGATTATAATTTCTCAATTATATTCTCTTATTTCTTAATATCGCAAGTATAGTGAGAAAATCAACGTTAAGTAGTCATTCATTTTGTTTTTAAATAAATAAATATTATTAAATCGTCAATTCGTCATGAATCAAGCATTTAGAAAAATATGTTTTACAAAATAACCAAATAAGAATCACCGACAAGCCTGTGGTAAGTGAATCTAAAATACTTGTCAATGATAAGTCATTTTTTTAAATCCTTAAATTTAATAAGAAAAATTATTTTGACTTATAAAAACATAAATTTATGTTTATTTTATTTTATTTCTTGTGTAAATTATTCAATAATTCCCTTATCTAAGTTAATTATTAGTTCAGTCTAAATTATTTAAATGATAATATGTTAAAAAAAACACATATATCAAAATTTATAAATTCATGATTATAACATTTTTTATTTGTAAGATAAATTTTAAAAATTAAATTAATCAAATTACAATAAATTTTGTTGTAGCCACTATGGTCCTGCACAAGAACTTAAGTTTTATCCCCGTCATTCTCTAGTAAAATCAAAGATAGGAAGTAATATAAGGCTTATCTAATGTAATAATTAAACATCTGTCTTTACTAGATCAGTTTAATAGGAAATGCAATTAATTCTAATATTTATTACTCCGAAATCAAACACACACTGACATGTTACTTGTCTAGTATTCTTTTGAGCCTATACTCTAACTTGGAGAAACCATGTCCATGTCCATGTTCATTGGTACCTACCAAGTTGCTGCATTTTTGTTTTTGTTGGTGCCATACAAACGGAAGAGACTAAAAGCAGAAATAGATGAGAGAAGCACCATACTAAGGCTAACCACAAAAGCACTAGCTATCCCTTCTCCCATTTGGTTGCAGAATTTCCCATACATGTTGCACAACTTCATCCACTGAAATTCTGCTTGCCCCAACCTTCCAAGCAATCCAGATTGCATTGCAGCTGCCACTGCAGCCACTGTCACATATGCCATCACCTGCATTCAATTACACTTGCTCATATCTTATTCTTCTGTAGTATTTCTACTGATGATTCTTTTCTAATGTTTCTTTTAGCATCCAGAATTGCTTTCTTTCACATTGATTTCTTTAACCGGAAATAAATATAGAAATGAGTAAACTAAATAATCATTTTGGTGCCTGAATTTAAATACGTTATCATGTTAGTTATTGAAACTACAAAAATTTCAATAAAACTCTTAGAAATATAAATCAACAATCATAACATTCTCAAAATCAAATAGACATGTGAATAAAGTGATAATATTGATATTTAGGGACCAAAATGACAGTAAGTAATTAATGTGATAATACTCTCCACTTTTATGACCGAATGATTGTTTAGTCATATAAAAATTATCTTTAAGAAGATTTATTTGAAGAAATTATTAGTTTATTACATGTGGTTCAAAACTAGTATGAACCATTAAAGTAGTGTTCACAAAATCTTAAATTTGAATTTGTTATTATTATTGTTATTTTTCTACCGATAAAAAAACTAATATGATTCCGATCAATCTCTACATAACACAACTAATAGCTGATTGATAATAACTCTTCATCGTAAGTCTTGATCATGTAATAATTTCTCTAAGTTTGGTCCCCCAAAATACAAGAAAGATCAATACAAGTTTTAGGATAATTAATTAATACTATAACGCGTGGTCCCTATAGCTATGAGTGGTTGGGCGATTTCAGATAAAAAAATTAATTCTCAACAACTGCATATGAATGTATGATATCTGTCTCTCCTCTGCTAGTATCGATCATGTACGGTTTCCATGCGGTCCCACAATACCAGTTCCTCGTGCTTCAATTGTGGTCACTATGAATTGCTATACAAATTTGAGCCCCGACTTCAACAAAACTAAACCAACCGAACCCCACTCTCAGATTCTGACACAGGTACCTATGTATATGTAAAGAGCAAATACTTAGGACAGAATCAAATGTTTCAATTGAAAGTCGATCAGTTGAATGAATCAATTCCCACTCCCTCCTGTGGTGGATTTGCCTAATTACTTTGATATGGAATTATGAATTCACCATTGCATTTCATCAATCGATTTGATGCATTAATTTAAGAAAGTTCAGAAACTTGGGATGAACTCCTTGAAATTTTTTTTGAAAAGTACTAAATGGTTTAGATTCAGTTTCGGGCAATTGTCACATTTAACTACCAAGAAGGTACCCCAACAAGTATTCATACTTGTCTTTTGGCCATGGTGCAGAGCTGAGGATATATATATACACACACTTATTGTGTGTTTGAGCAAAGATTATAAAAGTGATTTTGAATTGAAATAATGTATGTTTAGATGCTTTTATCTTTAAAGTAATTTGATGTAAAACATGGAGTAAAATTTTCAACTTGAGTCAAAATCAATTTTATCTGACTATAACTCAAAATCACATTTGACGGAAGAGAATATCAATTCTGATACACTTATACTATGGTAGCAAGAAGAGTGAAATGTATTGGTACCTGATCACCAGAGAAAATGAGCCATGCTAAGGGCTTGCTGAAGAGTACATTTCCTCTAACCATACTCACAACACAGCGCAATCCTTGGATTAAGGAGTAGCCAACAGTTAGTCCATTGGCAACTACCAAGAACCTGCAAAGTTTATCAATCAATGTTATATTAGGATTAGGGAAGAAGAAAATTACAACATAAACACCATTTTCAGAATGAAGAGCTTACACTAAAGCCTTCATGTCAGTAAATTTAGCTTTCTTCTGAAAGGAGAAAAACTCTTTGACTTGTGTATCAGTGACCACAAGAACAATTGAAAGAACTCCTAGGCCAAGGCTCACACCCCTTAACACCACCTCTGCTATCCTCACCCTCCTATCCAACACTCTGAGTTTTGTTCCATGATACACTGGCATAGTTCCAGGGCTAACACCCAACCCCAAATAACTCATTTTCCTTTTACCCTTCAACACTTCAGAACGAGAAAGATTATGCTAGGAAAAAATAGAAAAGAGTCTAAAACCCAACCAGAAATGAGAAAACAAGCAAGTGACAACTACTATATATAATGCAAAATTTGTCCTTAAATTTCCAAAAGAGTGATGATGGAGCTGAAGACGCAACGTGGCGTGGCAAGTGGTCAAAGGCTAAAACTGAGAGGACAGAGAACACGTATTGACAAAGGAAACTCAGCTATGACTCAAATATGGGGTCATTTATTAAGGAGTCTGCTGTCATTTCTGGTTCTGCATTCATGGAGTACTAAATGGCAAGAAAAATGTGGTTTTTAGAGCTCCTTTCTCGTTTCTTGAAACTTGTAACAGTGTCTAGTCCCTGTAGTGTGCCTGATAAGGCAAGGAGTGCCTTAATTCTGATCAATTAAGAACCGTATGGTTCAGTTTTATGATGCCCCATTTCTTTTGCCTACTAGGCCTTATAACAAACACATGATGATGGATTCCGAATCAAAAATTATTTGTGGTCACCACAAATCCATTTCATACCTAGCAAGAAAAAGAAGATTGTGGAGCGAAAAATATAGATACAATACATAATAGGAAAAAATATTTAAAAAATCATGAAGTTTGATAAGATATTTAGAGTGGATGAGTCATGAGTGTTGATTAGTCATTACTCTAATGATCTAATCACATGCCTCCGGTTTTCCTTTATACACTTTCTTTTGGAGGTTGGAAAATATATAATTGTGTCCATTTAAATGGCCGGAATGATTAACAGTGATTGTTGAAAATATGAAGTAAGAGCATAAAAGGGAGATTGTTGAAGAAGCAAAGCAATCCAACTATATCTAGATTATTTGTATGTGTGTATGTTATGGTGGGCCATGAGGTAGCAAGTTTGGGTTCACATTTTCTTATCTTACCAAAATTTGTAGTATATTATTGGTGTCATAAAATGAAAGTTGAGTTGAGACGCGCATTGCTAAGTGTATTAAAGGAGGGTAAAGCATGTGGGCAATGATGAGCCAGTGGGGTGCAACTACTTCATTCCACTAACACCAACACTAGCTTTCAAAAATCAAAAGTGATTCCTTTGCTCTGGTATGTGTGAACGGGACATGCAAATTGCAAAATGCATATTTCTTGCTCCTATGCGTCTTCTGATATCAGCATGATACAATAAAGGCAATCAAATCATAATTTTTCATAACTTTACTCTCGGAATGCCTGGTCCTTTGCCCCACTGCACCACTTTCTTATCCCAATTAATCTTAGCTCATGTTTATTTAGATCAACAAGTATTGATAATTTAATTATGTATTGAGTTTAAAGAAATTTTACTGAACAAACCCAGACAAACTCTTCATTTATTCTAATCGTGCAACTTTGTGAGAGGATTTTGAGAAAGAAAAAAGTTAGTTTAAATTAGTTGTGAGATTCAAAATTTTAAAAATATTTTTGGATAAACCTTTTTAGAATTTATTATTTTTTAATCGCAAAGTTTGAAATAAATCTTACCTAGAAAAATCAAGTTGTTTGCTGTTTAGATAAAATTCATTGATTATATAGTATTGTGTTCTTATGGGGATAGCACCATATATTTGATTTGAAGGAAATTTAAAACAAATGAATGATTGAAATTTATTAACTAATTAAATAATGAGTGAGATTCATTAAAAAAAAAATCTTTTATCAGTTTACATAAAAAAAAATATATTGAAACCCCTCGATCTTTGAGGGTACCGTAGCAACTCCCTTTCATGGTTGTGTCTGAATTTTAGAAAGTGTATTGCATTTTTCATATTTAATAAGGATATATCTTTCCGTAAAGAGTTTCTTTTAATTTGTAAATTACAAGTTTACAACAAAGCAAAGAAAAGCCATTCTATGTTCAGTGAGGCCTAACCCAAAAAGGCCACAACTTGTGGTAGCCTGGTAGGCAACTCAATTTCGCCAAGTAATAAAGAAAATTCTTAAATATGAATAAAATAGGCCTAGTAAAAAGTAAGAACGCCATTTTATCATGATGCATGAGACATAAAATTAGTAAATTTTAATAATTTAATTTTATGTGAATGATTAACATGTAAAATTAAAAAAAAAATCTCATTATTATTAATAAAAGTTACTAACTTTATGTTTTAATCGTCTATAATATACAATTATTTGGATCGTGACTAGTGTCTAATTTATTATTAATAACTTTTCTTTTAGACAATTAATAACTTCTTTTATCTCATGTAGTCACTCACATATTTTTTTTTATAGATTTATAATAAAAATAATAAAATCTAAACCCAAAATCTTGTGGATGTTACTTTAACTTTTTATCATTAAATCAATTTATTATATATTTGTTTAATTTTTTTTATCAATAAATCGACTTATGGTTCAATCTCATGCTTATAATTTGTTGTTAGTTTGAAAATTATTTTTATTTTGATAAATAATTAAAAATGGCATTATTATTTTAAATGTTTATACAAAAGATAATAAAAATAGTTTTAATTTTTATATCATTTATTATATGAAATTTTAAAAAATAAAATAAATATAATAATTTTAGAAGTATTTTTAAATTTAAAAATATTATTTTGAATTAAATATATCTTTATATGCCAACGTATTTTGTAGCTAGAAAAAAATGTGATTAAAAAGAAAGACTATACTAAGAGTTTTAGTCAAATTTTTTGATAAAAAATAATCATCAATAAAATGGTGAATGCTTCAAATAAAAATATATAGATATTTATACTATTTTACATTAAACATAACAAAATGACAACCATTTTTTTAATGTATATCGAGAAAGATTTGGATAAGACATTTTTTTTATAGTAATTATGTTATTATCACAAAATGTCTATTATTTGGATATGACATATATGTTGAGGTTACGTATGCCCAAAAAGAAGTATAGCAAACACTCTAGTTTAGTATGAAAGGCTTCATTCTATTAGTCTCTTGTCTCTTTGAATATATTTTTTTAATATTTATTTTGATTTTTTTAACCTCATATCTCCTTAAATATATTATTTTTATATTTATTTTAATATTTTTAAAATAAGATTATCAATGATTAAAAACAATTTTGTATCACAATATGAAATATTTATCATATAGATCTAAAAATTATTTATTTATTAAAATTTTAATTATAATGAAATATATAATAAAAAATATTTATTATAAATTTTAGTTTTGTAAAATAATTAATTATCATATGCATTACACATGCTAAAATGCTAGTTTGTAATTAAATTAAAATGAGTTAAGTTTTCCAATATTTAAATAAATTATTGATATATTATAATTTTTTGGACATTAATTCTTTATATTGTCTGAATTAATGTAATTTATATTCAAAGTAATATGCAATAGATTTTGTAAGAGAACTTCAATAAAATTATTTTAGCCTTGTATTAATATTGTGTATGGTAAACATATATCTACATGAATAAATTCATGTAAAGAAACATTTTTAATATATATTTATCTATGTTATTTGGTAATTTTTACTTTCTTTTTGTCCATATTTTTAATAATTAATTATTTTATAAAATTATATTTTATATTAAAATCGTGCAAAATGCACGGGTTGAAAGGTTAGTTCTTTATAAAATCAAATATAATTATTTTAACTTGTTAAAAGATTAATTTGGAAATAGACATTTTAAAATACGATAAATCAATTATTGACAAGAAAGAAGAGATATGCAGAAACTACGGAGAATAACTACTACCTCAAAATCCTGTGAGAAATTGTTGATTCACGTTAACAAATAATTTCCAAACACACTAATTTGACTTGAATTAGTTAAACCGAAAAGAATTATTCGCCATGGTAGTGTTTCACTTTCACATCAAGCACCAACTCAGACAAAAAGGAATTTAAGAGACACAAACAGAAAGGAAGCACCAACTCCATTATTCCCTCCAAATTGTTCAACTGCAAAATATGGTCTTACTAGTCTTTGATGTAAGAAAATTAATGATAAATTACTTCGAAGTTCGAACTTCATTCAAGGAAGTAACTCATACTTGCATGAGCCATGACCTGCCATTGGACAAAATCACAAAAATACGAGATACTATCATTTACCATGGATATTACAAACGAGATTAAGTAAAGTACATTGTTAAGGTCCAATAATTAATTTTATTTTATTTTAATATAGATGACGTATATTCTCCACTGAAAACAATAAATAGTTGTTACTATGAATGAAAGGGTAAACTGTAAAGCATTGAAACAGCTTTAATGTAATACTAAATAATTTGACATTATATATATCTGAAGATGAGTTATGAGAGATCTTACTTGGATCAAGATCAGTGGTGATTGCAGCAGAATTGAAATAGCAAGAGCCTCCTTTGTGCTTGTACCTCTGATAGTAATTGTTGAAGACATAAGAGGCATGATCCCTCATGGTATTTGGAAGGTAACAAGGTTGGTTCACTTGTATCTTGCTGCAATCTGCTCCACCCTTTTCACAAGCCCAATTCATGGCCCTCCGTAACTCCTCATCTGGTGTCTGCTCATCTGCTATGCACCATTCCTCAAATTGTCCTGAAATTTTCCGATATGCAATAAGATAGTAAAGAAGTTTGGCTTCTAACACAAAAATAAATTAATGGTTTTAGTTTAGTTTAGATAACAATGATCACATATAAGGCACAATGAATTATTTCTTTTTAATAAATAAAAATAAAAAAACTGAGCATATAACTGGTAGAGGTAATTAATGTTGATTTTACCAAATGCTTGAATAGATAGAGTCAAAAGGAAAAGAGCAATCGAAATTTTGAGCATTGGAGAATTCATTTCTCTTCACGAGTTTCTCTTATCTAACCTTGAACTATGTTTCGTGTAATGGCTGAATAATATTCTTATAAGCGTTACTCACTTTATAAAGTTTCATGTTAGAGAGAGAAAAGCTCAGATCTTAATATAGAGACACTTCTTCACACACCATTCCTTCGTTGTTACGATAAGTGTTTGAAACTTGACTTTTCTTTAGAATGTCTCCATCACCATGATTTTGTCATACCGAATTTTCACTTTTCATATATCCAGGTGATATACATGGACATTCCAAATATGGTATTTCGATTTTTTTTAAATCCTCGATAACTTGCCTAATAAGAGTAGAATATTGCATATGCTACAAAAAGTAAATTAAGAGAACCTTCACAGAAGTACTTATAGGGATCAATATTTCTGTGGCGAGTAGGATCAAACAATTTCTTTGTAATTGTAGTTTTGGTTGAGATACTTTTTTAGCTAACGTTCATTGTACAAGATATGAAGAACAAACAGTTCAATAGGTCCATTAATCCAAGCATATATTTTCTTTTGCAACGAGGAATCTAGATGACCAATTTTCCAAGCAAGCTATTAGACCATAAAGCAGAAGTCAGGATCTCTAAAGGAATTGCAAATAAAGAAGTTATTTCTTTTCATTTGTTTATGTCTGCTCCACTGGCCAAATAGAGGATTTCTTACCAAGACCTTTCATCCCAATGCCTCTCTAGTTCAATTATTTATCACATTTCCATAATGGGGCACTTGTTGCCTAAAGGATTAACTTAAAAAATGATTAGGATTAGGAATAAAGATCCACAAGGAGGGTTTTCTTTTCTTTTTTTTTAATAAAACACAAATAGTTGCAGCAAATGTTTGCTTTAAAATAATATAATACTTGAAAGATAAAAGAAAGAATTGATACAATAGTTAAGACTCGATAACATAATATTGTAGAAGACGTATCCTAATACCTATGTCCGTTAGTGCTCCCATGTGATCAGAAAGGATTTTCAATTTCCTAATACGTACCTATGTCGAATAATTATTGCTTATTACTCTGCGCAAACCCATTTAGGGTTTAACATAGGAAACATTTTGCTAACCAATATCCGCGTTTTGTTAATTACTTAATTTATTTTTTAGTTGAATTTCTTTCAATTTTTTCTGGCCCTGACTCTGTATAAGTATTGTAGATTGGATTAACAAACCTCATCCTCTCTAAAATATGTTAATACTTAATATGAAGGAAAAAAGGACTACCTCTAGCTTAGTAGTTCTAATTAGTATGATTATTGTAAGTGTATTCGGTTCGACTTCGTTAGTGTGTCTCATACGTGATACCGATACGGTACACACAGAAAAGACAATTTGTATATTGGTTCAACTTCAAAGTTATCTTCTGTTATTATAATAATTTGGTAAGCCTGGTTGCATGAAAACCGTTTTCTAGTTGAGATGAGTGATATATGTTCTTGTATGTACGTATTAATTATATTAATTTAGTCAGCATTATATTTCTTCTGTGGCATCACATCTGCGATTAGTTTCCCCATTTGCGCCATGTCCATCATCATATGGCCCTAGTACAAAAATTGCCAGTTCCCCACTGGAACTAAGCATAAATTTTGTTACATATATACTGATTCCCTGTAAAATCAGGTTCCAAAGCAGATTGATAACATGTTAAGCACTGTTGCTGCATAAAAAGTACACTAATCATAGACCGAATAAAAGAAACCTATAAACCAACCTAGAAAACGACACAGATGGTTCATAGATATATATAATATAAGATATTCAAGGACTCACTCAAATTTCGAAACACGTACCCTCCAAATCATGTTATTTTCTAACCTAACCGTTGAATCTACTAGCTAGTCATCGTAAAAAATAGTGATAATATGCTGATTAATTGATAGCAAAGTGCCAAGAAATGACGCCTTTTCGTGTGACACATGATTAGAGGGGGTTATAACTTTTATATATGAAGCTACATTATTACTTATTAGACAAGTATGTAAATGTTAATGTTACAGGTGAAGAGAAGTATCAACACCAGAGTCAGAACCGGAATCCCAATCATATACGTTCTTCATTGAAGCCTGAAGAGACTGTGTATGTGTACAATCAATGGAGCGTATTGGGGTCTCAATAGTGCTTTTGTTGTACTCTTGCATGCGCGGCGAAGTTGGCCACAGAGAAAGAGAAACATGGGGGGGTGACCTTGATGGCATGATCAGTTCAGGGTGGAAAAACTGCCTCGTAGTGGGTTTGGAATTGAAATGTTTAGGTTCAGTAGTGAGCATCTTCAGCAAGTCTCTCTTCTTCCTCATTTCTTTCGCTCTATGCAACTGTTTAAATCTCTCTTGTAGCAGAACAATGGAAGAGCGAACCACAGAGGGGTCACGGATTTTCCTTCTCATTGTGAGTTTCTGTGTAGCAATATCCTTTGGTTGTGTTGCGGCTTTAAAATGCAGAATAGTGGCTATAAGCAGAAGGAGCTCTAAGGACTAAGGAGGAATGAAATGCTTTACGTGTGTAGTATTTATAGAGTGGTGGCATCATGTTTTGGAATAAAATATTCGACTTTAGTCCCTCAATAAAATTCTTAAATGATTAAAAAAGAAATGAGAATCGGCTGCTAAGGTGTATAATCCAAAAAGAAGATGTTGATTGGCCAATCTAGCCTGTGACCTGTGTATGCGGCTATGTGGGGGAATTACATAAGCATTTCGGCACAAAGAGGCAAAAGCATTGGTAAAGCAGAAAATGACTCGCGCAATAGTCCAAGGGAATATGGAAGGTAGCCCATGGAAGGACGTGTTGGGAGGAATAAAAAGTCGAATGATGATTTGTCAGCATGTCCAAACGCCCTATTCTTCAGCTTTGGGGTTAGTGGAATATTTTTTGTGGCCTTTGTTGGGATATGATATATTTTATTTCTTTATTCGTAATGAATATGATTATGATATATTAACCTTTTCCTTTTGTTGGAAGAAGGGGGAGTTGAACAATTGGGCATAAAGGACAAGGGCTATTCGCTAGGAGGGAGGAATTAATGATCTTGTCTGTTTATCATGCTATGATCAAAGTATAAGGCTCGGATTTGATGTTTGATCGAAGAATTGCGTATGACAAGGACAAACATACCAACATTCTTCTCTCTCTTTCTTTCTCTCCATCTCTATGCAAGTTCTTTGTCTTCAAGTCTTTGGATGCGAATGGCATGCAGAAATGAAAGCTGCAGATACCACTAATGCTTGGATTTGATGTTTCATTTATGCAGCATACCCCCCCTATAACTTGGTCTAAGGCTTTGAAGTTTCAAACACGTGTTGGCTAATTGAGATTATATTACTCAAATATAGGCAAGGCGTGCACTACAAATGCTATTATATTTTCTTTGCCCATTAAGTTTACTACAACAGGTTGTTGAGGAGAAAGGATACCAATAAAAATTTGCAACATACAAGGATAAAAAAGGAAACCCATGAGCTATAGCGACATAACGATAACAATGAGTGCGAAATTTTTACCTAAATAATATTTTTTTTTTTTTAAAATTACACATTTAACACCTGTACAAGTTTATTTACTGAACTAGAACCTTTTACTGTGCATGCTCAGAATTCGGTTCCCGGGAAACCGAATTCTGAGCTTCTATATTTTTTTTTCTCAGAATTCGGTTCCCCGGAACCGAATTCTGAGTTTTTTTTTTTTTTTTTGGTTTGGGGGCCAATTTGGGCAAATGTTGGAAGTGGAACGGCCCGTTCCGAAAGCAGAACGGGTCGTTCTGCTTAAACAAACAGAGTATTATTTTTTAAATTAAAACGGGCCAAGAACGGTCCGTTCTAGAATTAAATTTTAACGGAAAAATTGACCCCTAAAACGGCCCGTTTGAAAAAAAAAATTAGTTATTTTTTTTAACCTGGAACGGGCCGTTTTTATTTTAGAACAGCCGGTTCCAAAATAGAAATTTAAACAATTTTTTGAATCTAGAACGGCCCGTTTCAGGAGTTGTTTTTACGAATTACAACGTGGATTGGAACAGGCCATTCTGGTTTTGGAACGGCCCGTTCTGGGCAAACAGTAAAAATGCTGGTTTTCCTATAAATAGGCTCTCTACCCTTCATTATTTTCACACGATTTCAGCTTACCTTCTCTCCTTTGTTCCTTCCGTCTACCCCTTTTGAATCACTTTCTTAGAATCACGTTCATTTCCTTTAAACCTTTCATAAAATGGCTTCTTCAATCTACGTTATTGTTCATTCTGATAGTTCCATTAACCAATGTCCGAATGAAGGAATCACCTTCTCCTCTCCATCTACAAAATTAGTTCGTATCAAGAGAGGAATTTCTCTAGAAAGGCTTCAAAGAGTCATCCACACAAAGCTACATCGACAAGATTCTGAGAGGGTGGCTAGCATACATTTTCGGTACCCTATTAGACTTGGCCCAGGGGTTAGTAACTATACTTGTGTTGAGTTGACGGATGATGAAGACGTTGAGGCAGTTTTCAATGTTCACGATTCTAATCAACTTCAATCAGGTATTGAATTATATGCTACATTTACTACAGTTGAATCACATGCACCACAAGTTTCACCTTCACGTTCACCTTACGAAATTTATCAAAGTTACCAGAACACTAACCCATCTGGCCCTTCTTATGATATCCCCTCCAACTACGACATTGAGTCATACACACAGCTTTTAACTGGTCCAATCATGGACCTTAATCAAATACCTTCTCAGCCATTTGAGCAAGCTACACCTTCTGCTTTTCAACCCAATGTTGAAACCAACATTAAAGATCATGTTGTTGTTGGTCTCCCAACAGAAAATGTCTTTGATCCTTTTAGCGAGGACGAAGACGAAATTATCTCTGCACATGAAGATGATGATGAAGAAACCCTCCCAATTCCAAATAATCCACCACTACAACCAGTAGCCATATACAACCCACCTCCTCACTTTTTAGAGTTTTCCAATGAAATCCAACAAGACACTGAGTAATGGCCACATACACTCGTTGCAACAAGTTTTTCGTTCAAAGAGGTAGGGAAGTGGATGCAATGATTAATGTTGGACATGTCTACTCGGAAATTGCAAATAAAACTATTCAAAATGCACAGTCTAAGGCAAATACTCATAGAGTTATCAGCTTTGACAGATCAACCAGTAGATTTCTAGTGGAAGAAACGCAACATTCCAGAGAAGTTCGACCAGCTGGGAGATTTGCAGTAAGGCTTGATGAATTGTGGTGTGATTGTGGCAAGTTCCAGAAAGTTCATAACCCTTGCTCACATGTACTTGCTTCATGCTTACATGCACATCATGACTATGAAAGGTACATATCTCCCATATATACCTTATAACAAGTTGCAAAGGTATACGAATGACAGTTTGGAGAGCTTCGACATGAAGATTATTGGCCTACTTACACTGGTCCAACTTTGTAGCCAAATCCAGAACTAAAGAGAACTTCCAAGGGTCGACCAAAGTCCACCAAGATTAGAACAGAGATGGATATTAGAGAACAACATAGTCATGTAAAAAATTGTTCTTATTGTCACACTCCTAGTCACACTAGGAAGACATGTCCGAATATTAGTCATGGATGTAGTTCCCGCCACCATTGATCATTATTGGTGTAATCAGTTGTAATAAATTTATTTAGTTATGTAATATTAAAGTTAATTACTTGGTGATAGTATCGGATACTACGTTGTGTTTGTGTTGAAATCGTATATTGTGTTGAAATCGTATATTGTGTTCGCTACAATACTTATAATTATAATAGTTTATAACCTTCTTATTAGTGCATTAAATGTAAAAATGCATAACATTAAAATTAATATTACATTGATAAAGACACATAGTACATTAAAATAAAAAAACAATAACATTAACATAGAGTGATTTATATACATTTTTCAATCTCCGTAATGGTGTCCAGTTCCACAACGAGGGCGACGTCTATTATGGCCTGGATTACGCCGTGGAGGTTGTTGCTTATAAGGATTTGGTTCATCATCAACCACCGGATGTTGAAATGGTGCTGAAGAACTTCCAGGTTCATTACCGAATTGTGGACGGTAAAGAGATTGCATGTATGATTGTGCTGAAGATGGAGTTCTAAAATCTACTCCAAATAAATTTGTAAAAAAATCCTCTGAAGTTGTTGCAAATGAATGTCGTCTGTCAATTATGTTTTGTTCAGGAGTGACGTACTGAGGATTTGATACATGTTGACCAGTCTCTTCATGCGATCGCATGGAAGTTCGACCAGTCTCAAATGTTGTGGAAGTCCTTCGTTGTTGATGGGTCCTTGGATCTTGTAGTAGTCGTGGCACAGATAAAAAATAGATGGAATTGGCCATGTACCATTCCATGTATTCTCGTGTGTGAAACAGTGGGCCTTGCATTGGATGACCCATCAATGTGTGCTCACGTCTATTGTTCCATATGTCGATCCATTGAGCATGTCTTGTAACCCAATTTTCATCTTGTCTTCCCCTCATGTCAATGTTGTGCAGGTTATCCAAATTATTCGGTGGAGAAGGGACATCCTGGAAGAGACGAAATTGCAATTTCACTCTATCAGATTGGTGCCATTCAACAATTGCAAAACAAATAATGGAGGTGCATGATGTCCATAGCAGAGCATCTCTATATGCTTGCATCGGTATTGCTGTTTGCAATACTCCATATGGCGCCCATAAAAACTACAAAAAAAATTAAACTTCTTTAGTTAACATATTATGCTAAACAAAAGAAAATAAAAAATAATAATAAAACTTTGATTTTAAAGAGTTACCTGATCATTTTGAATGTGATCAAACCTTGATCTATATCCAACAACATCATTATGAGGTACATTTTGAAAGTTTAAAACTCTGCCTCCGCTCCATTTACAGACTAGAGGGAATGTTGATGGTATCCTAGAAATAGGCGCAATATATGGCATGCGATGTCATGCCCAAGACTGTAACAAAGATGCACAACCACTCATTGTTTTGCTGCTAACATTTGTAGCTCTACACATTTCCCTATATAACATAGCCAAACAAGCTGACCCCCAACTATATCGTCTTTTTCTTGTAAGATTTATTAATAAAGGTAAATACATAAGATGTACCTTATTGCTTGTTTTGTCAGGCATCAAAACACCTCCTATTAAACCTAATATATATGCTCTACAATGTGCATGAAGTTGTTCTTGAGATGGTTCCTCTGGTAATTCTAACATATTTTCTCTTAACCACTTTAATTTAATCATAGAGCCAATTAGTGACTCACCTTTAACTGACATGATTCCGAGATAGGTGGAGCACATTTCCTCCTAGTCATATAATGTTGGGTCAATGACTGGTAAACCATCAATTCTTAGGCCAAGTTGAAGTGCAACATCCTCCAGTGT